GGGGGAGGGGGGGGTAGAACTGCATTCACAAAGTTATACGATGCAGTGTCTGGAGCGACGATAAAAAGAGCCCTTATATCTTCCCGTTTCAAAAATATTGCATGGCAGGGGGTGACCTTTCCGGATGACACAGAACATAAACATCTGCGACAATAGATCATATCCATAATGGCATCTTGAATATGGTTAAGCCACAGAGGGGAACGCCATTATACACCAACTCCTTTTCTATAATTCCTGCAAGGGTATAAGCACCGTCATAAAACAATGCAGACGGCTTCCAATTTTCCTGGGATTATGATATAGTTACAGGACCGCCTGGCTAAAAGGAGTCTAGAACTCACAGAAGAAGATCTTGTTTCTCAAATAAACCAACTTCCTTGCGTGAAATTGTCCATCGCTAATATGCCCGTACGGTGTCAGATGCACACTTATCTTTCAAAGTCCACTTGCGGCTTTACTTACGAGGGAGGGTTGAGAATAGCCCATAAAATAATAATATCAAATCTACGACTCAGCATCTTTGCAGAAACTACCTCTGCGTGTATTCTACTCTAGCTAGGACTTTACAGGACTCTCTCACGCAATTCCTTCCACGATTTTGTTACTATATTATTTAGAAAGCGTTTCCTGAGCGGTTCACCGTGAAAGAAATCGGGGTAATCGCATCTGTTCCGTTTCCGAATTGCCAGCAGGTCGCGTCATACTCGTTGTTTCGCTCATTATGGCGGGTAGAGGGGCTGGCCAGCGTCGTCGCCGCCGCGCAAATGCGGCTAACAAGACGCGATTCGTGCGTGAAATGGTGATTAAACCGCGTTGGCTATGGTGCATGTGCTGCCTTAGTACCTCTGTGAAGCATTTCAAGCCCGAAATCATGGAGGCCCAGGAAGTTTTCGAGATTGACTGTGTCCTCGGTGGGGAGGAATCCATTCTGTGTAGCATCTCCGCCTGGATAGAACGGCCCTCCACGAGCTGCTAGGACATGGAACCGGAATGGTAGAGGCGGCAAAGAATTTGAACCAGGAGCTCTTTAGAGATGCGCGACACTTCTCGACGCAGAATGGCTATTGATACCATTGAAGATATCATATGTTAAATTATCTCTACTTATGCCGATCAAAAGAAGGCATAAACGAATGCGATGGTTGATCTATCCAAAGAGTTGGATCTGCTTTGAGGGGATATGACTTCGGCATATACAGTCTATCCTACGCCACGGTCAAATCTATGCAATGTAACCAGATTTACACGAGTATCATTGACTGGGTGGCCACTTCTGGAGATGCAAATTATTTAGGATTTGCCTCTGACAATCGTCGTGCAAAGGTGGCCCTAACTCGCGCACGGTCATGTCTCATTGTTGTTGCTGATGGTAACATGATCAACAATAATCAACTCGGTGATGAAAGCAAGAGAAAGTACCTCCTGACATACTAGTCCACTGGAAGTAACTACCGTATAGTGGCTTTGATCATCCGGTACTCTCCTACTCGGTTGTTTACTGTTCTTGACAGCCACAGCGTCTGGAATAGGGGAAAGTTGTTACATCATTTTGAAGAAGAAAGGAAGGGAATGAAACTTTCAAACTAGCGAGAACTCACATGCACTCTGCTTCTTAATCTTCAAGGTCCTACATATTTAGGCCTATTTTTCCCCCTTCTCTTTATTATAATAAGTTGCCTCAGTCCCAGTCCCGCTTTCCTGCGACAGTTCCATCACTGCCTCTTGGTTGTCGGTCTTGACTCCTACCTTTCTCCTGCTTTTTGGTACCCTTCGCTGTTGTCTGGTCTAGACACTTCTTTTATGTACCATTGTTTGAGACTTCGTCTTCACCAGCTCATCGGATAGATGCGATATTTCGTTCTTGTTCTAGCGATCAGCGCGTCGACACAATCCTCTGTGCAGCCCACTATGGCACCTTTAGCTATCCCCCGACCATCACTCGCCTAGCTGATAAGGATAAGTCTTGCACGTGCGAGACATATATACCTTATCTCGATGGTCAGACATCTTGAATAACTCCCGTTCGCGTCCAGCATATGCTAGCTAATCGCAACTTGAACTACGTGATACTAATCCTTCTAAGGACACGTCTCGCATATGCCAGACAAGTATACCAACCCAAGACATCGAGCGATCCCGGTGTCTTCATCAACAGAGGCACGAGATTATATGGAAAGATTTCTACACGGACCTACAGAGGAAACCTCGCTCCTGAAGGCGTCACGGGATGTTGTCACTACAAAAATCCGCCAGAACTTGGAGAGGGCCTCTAAGCTGTGCAGTTGGGAGTATGATCCTGATCATAAAATTCTGGAAGTCAAAGTGATTGTTTCTTCTCTACATGCCGCCTTCAACGGAAGTTTCGCCTGCACTGTTACAGAGGCTTTATTTACTATATTCACAAAAGACTAGCGTCGGTGTATCGGGAAAGATCTAATGTCCGTACTCTGTTCAACTCGAATTATCGATCATGGAGGCAACGCTCAAAATAGAAGAGGAGTCAAGCGTCCCGCATGAACGAAACATCCTGATGAACTCGTTTGCAACTCTACATAGTGGCTATTGGGTCGGGGGGTAAGCCTAAACTGGTCATTCCCATCGAGATAGTTGACAAGGCCAGCGTAATGCACATTCAGAAACGCAGCACTTTATAAGCACGCATAATCGGCTTATCGCAAAAAGAGGAGACGAGGATTCCCATGACCCACAGATGAGCTTCGGAAGAAAATCACTACTAAGCCTACTTTGATTATAATTCCTCCGCACCTACTAGACCAGTGGTCATCTTAATTGCGCAAGCTAAGTAATAAACTAGATATATATATCTATTTTAGTAATAATCAGATACAAACAGGAAGCTCCCTCTATATTAAGAATAAGTTCAGGGTTGTACGATGAAGTCGAAACTGAAGTAAATGCGTCTGGCTGTTTGGTCCACTTCCAATATATAGTATAGAAACCGTTTAGTATTCGCAAAGCGGACAATAGGCTTTGATGGGTCGTGGATACTAACTGTGCACATGGGGGACTTTAGCTTGAACTAGCTCACGTGGGGAAGAAGTATTCAAAGACTTAGGGGTGAGAGGAGTATTCCGAGAAATATTTGGATAATATTATCCCTGAATCTTGCCTAGTGAGAGGCACTCCATTATTGCTAGTACTTCTGTGATGATGGCTTCTAAGCTCGGGAGATTCCATCAACTAGCCTATTTATACAGCTATTAATGTTCCTGCGACGACGTCCAACTAATACAAAAAGCATTGTAAGCACACTTAAAATGCGACAGCCGGCGATGTAGATTTAGATCACTTATCAGGCGAAGCGTGTATGGTTAGTAGTATGAAACATTCATTCATAACGGTAAACAACCGCTCCCTTGCATGTCATCTCGTTCCATCGCCTCAGGCCCCAAAATAAGAAGACAATCTAATCAGATATGATCTGATTCTATAATTACCTCTACGCGTCACCGGCGCGTCGAATAATTGGTCTGTCAAGCAAAGTGGATTTTCGCGATTGTTTCGACTTCTCGGAGGATGGGGGGAGCTGATTGGGTACCCCTTTTTGGTAGGGTAGGTTGCAGACCTAATGATGACCAAGTTACTAGTAAATGCTAAGGTAAGATGTGAGTCATGAGGAGGGGAGTGATGAGTGAATGACCTAGTTGGTACAGCTGACAACACATAGTGTCTACGTGACATCTTTGTGCTATTTTGACTGAGTACAGCTTCCATATCTACACAGACTCTGTGGCCCCAAGCTGGGCGACATAGTTTCAGTTGTATCAAGGCCTCCGGAGATTTCCAACCCTGGCTTTAGCATGGAACGCGCGATCCTCCTCATCGATACCGTGCACGGTGGTAAGATACTGCTTAAAGTCTCTCGTCATGTTGCACACTTGCTCAAAGTCTCGCTGGTCTAAGGTCGGTCCGTCGTCTTTGGACTTGTCCGGTTTCTGGGAGAAGCGGTATTCGGCGAGAGCAACGGCCGTTTGAAAGGCTATACAAAATTAGGTGAAGCGATTATGTTAGGCATTTGTTGTCCGTGAGATCTGGCGGGTGACATACCATTACGGATTTCTCGTCCATTCCATTGCATTTTGCTAATCACTTCATCCTCTAAGACATAAGATTTTGCACGCCGAGTCACAACGAAATCATGGCGCTCGTCGGTCAACTTGTCGAAAAATTGTTCCCAGATTGTTCTCCGGTTTTCTTCGCTCAGATTGTCGTACCGAATGACAACGTGAATTCGGGAGATGAAGGCGTCGTCGAAATGGCCGACCCGGTTAGTCGTCAGGAATAAGATCCCTCGGTAGTATTCGATACATCGAAGGAACACTGATAGAAGAAAGAAGTTAGAGTGGCTTTTTGAGAACTTAGTGATTGGACCTACCGGATACCAGGCTATTGCGCTTAAGATCTGTAATCTGTCGCCTCTCTAGATAAACATCCGCCTCGTCGATGAGCATAACCGCGCCCCATTGTTCGGCTAGTCTGAACCATTTAGACAGCTGTTTCTCCATTACGACTTCGTCCGTACCGATGTCTCCAACGGTCAGCGATAACAATGCCCGTCCGGTGTATTCGGCTATACATTCTGGGTTGGGTCAGTGGTGGAGCGGCGTCTTGTATTCAACGTGTTTCCGACTTACCGGCAGTCTGCAACAGTTAATGGAATTCCAGCCATACAGGAGGTGAATACAACTTACAAAGGTTTTCCCTACACCCGGACTACCATGAAGGAGGAATATCTGCCCTTCGCCTTTGTTCTCAATGAAGTCGGCTCCCCACGATTTACTGCGCTTGTCCGGCGTGGGATCTGTGTATTTCTGCACAAGAGCTCGAATCATTTCCTTTCTCGCTTCGGGCATAACCAGACTATCAATGGCCCTTCTGTTCACTTTCGGCTCCTGGCAATATGCCACATTGAGTTCCTCTGCGCCTGTTAGCTATTCGTTGAGAGAGGTAGGTTCGACATGGTAGCACTGACCCCATGTCCTGGACTTCAGGACAAGCCCATAAAGAACCCGACTGCAGAGTAAATAGCGATGACGAGCACCTTCCGGGGACTGAGGAAGCTCAAGATCTTTATCCACTCTCGGGTCCAGAAGATCATAAGCGGCCCACCGGAAGTCAGGCAACGGGTGAGGTTTCCAGCCACGACATTCTTCGCAGAGGCACTTGGCTAGTCCATCGCCCATGTCCTCGACTTCGCAGATATCTGGAGCTGTGTACTCGTGCTGTGCGAAATATGAAGCTGAGTCGACATAGACGCGACCTTGGTACTACCACAATATGTCAGTGTAGCTCATGCGAGTGATCAGCGCATGCTTACCTGTCGCTTAGATGGACCTAGGAACTCGCCCGAGTAGAACACCTGCTTTCCCTGAAGAAGCTCATACCATTTTTGTCCAAGATCCTCTAAGTGCTTTCGAGTCCTTCCGTTGTCCTGCCTGTCGATAAAGTGGCCTGGGAAGATCTTGAGCGAGGTGACTTGTCGTTCGCCATCAAAGTGTGCGATAGTCACGGTTCTAGAGCTCCTCCCGACAAATGTCCCATTGAAATCAAGATTCCACAACTGGATGATATAGGGATGAGTAAACTTTCGACTAGTGGACGAGAGCAAGGTTCTGTCAACCTGCATATATTGGACCACGTAGGCTGACAGTTGACCCCCTGACTCCATATAGACAGTTTCTCCGGGTTTGAAGAGTAACCATAACATTGGGAATGTGCAACGGTTCCGAGAATGCCGCGCAAGTTCATCGCTGAGACGATCCTTATAAAATGAGTCTTTCACAAAATGAAGCAGAAGGCCTAGCTGATCGAATGTCTCCTTGTCGCATATTGGGAGGACAGACTCGTGATCTGCGGCATCTGGCTGTGAAGAACCAACATCATCTTCGCGATATGTCGCTCGGTAAGTTTCAAGCTCGCTAAGATGATGGCCAATTAATGTGAATGGCGCATTGAGTTGGATATATTCCCCTTCCAGTCTTTCAGCTGGGTAATAAGTTACCACGTGAGCGAGGGCATTGAGGAGCGACTTGGAAAAGATAGTTATGCGGGTGGAATGGACCCCAACGTCGATGGTCGGGTTCGTTATGATACCATCTTGTAGTAGGCCCTCGGTTTCATGTGCGTACCTGTGGGGGTCCGATGGTACAGACGTTTCCAGAACGGTGGTGACATTGAAGATGACGACCTGCTTCACTTCGGCATTTTTCCGAATTACAGAGCTGTCGAAGGGCCCTGCCCATGGCACTGTGGTGATGATGTTATTCCCGCTATCTCGGTACTCCAGGCAATAGGTGACAATGGAGGAAGGCTCGGTCTTGGGGTCCTCGTGTACCTCAGGCGCGGGAGCCGATTGCTCAGCTTCCCCATTCATAGGCAAAGGTGGTCCTGCCTCGTTATTGAACTGCTGACTGCTGTATCCTTGCGGATTCTCGAATTCTTGCTGAGGCCACGCGGGCTGCGTCCACATAGCCATCAAATTCTGACTGCACTTGGGGCATTCACCAAGCCCAAAATCTAGGAGGATCGCATGGGATCGTCCTATCTCTGGGCAGTATAAAGTTGCCCAAGATACCTGATTATCTTCACACTGATCCCTGTCTTGTTCACTGGAAACACCTCCCTCCCCGTCGGTTTGTGTCACTGGTTCCCCTGAGGCACCTTCCTCGAAATCGGAATTTGGGGAGTGATCTGCCCCGCTACTTTGGGGTGTCTTGACATCCGACACGGTGGAGTTTGGATCTGCGCCGACATTTATGCTTATGTCGGTAGGTGGGGTTGAGACCGAAGAAGTGCCCAAGGATATGACACTCACGTCTCCTGCGGCGCCGTCGTTCATGGTTTTGTATGCTTGCTCGTGAAACCGGGCGTGAGAACGAGTATCAACTTGTTGATTCCGAAGAAACAGACTTTGCCGGTCATCACAGACAGGCTTGAGTGTTCATATATACCACTCAGCCTATAAAACCTCGCTTAAGCTGATTGCGCTGCTTATCTGCAGATTTCACCGTATTGTGGAGGCTGGGAGGCTTAGCATCCCCCTTAGCGCTTCATCCTCAGGGCTCAGCGATTATAGAGCCCGTGTCCGGTTGCCATACCACTCATGCCAATACGAGTGTTCCCTGTTTTCCTTGGCCTTGGCGGCTGGTCTGCTGGCTCTCAGACGGCCACGGACGAGGCTGAGTGGGGGCGTAAAAGACATGGGATATCTCTCAGTGCCCAATGCCCAAGCCCTCTCCGCCCCACTAACGAATCCATCACCAACTCGTCTCTTATATGAAACACGCCACATACAAGTGGAATCCGACAACCCTTGACCTTTCGTGCCTTCAGGTCCACGGGAAAGCAATGACACAACCACCGATATCTTCTCTGATCCGACGATATAGTATGAAAGCAGAGCACGAGTCGCCTAACAATCCGCTCACCCAGGCTCTAAGCTCTACGATCAAAGAGCGAGATGACTTAGAAAGGCAGTCCCAGCGCCAGGCCGAAGAATGGACCAAATGGCTCAAGTTCGGGGAAGCTACAGAGTGAGGCAGATCATCTACTCTGGCAAGCATTTGTAAAGCGGTGTCATGCTAAGTCTTGATCATTTACCAGCGACGCGGGTTTGAAGCGGTTAGATGACGGTCGCAGGAGCATTGTGGAGATTTGGCAGCGATTTAGGGAGCATCATCATGAACTTCCAGCAGTGGGCGCCGGCCAGCTCGTTCCAGAGGTACCGAACATTATAACGTTGAGGAACATCATCCAAGACGCCCAAGTGGAATGGCAAGCTAAAAGAAGTAAAGGATTGGGAAAGATCAAAAGTTATGTTGCAGACTTTTTGGAGATGATGGACGATCATTCTTACCTGTTCAAATTCATTCCGACCGGAGATAAATACATCAGCCTCATCACGGGCGTCGTGTCGTCGGTTGTCAAGGTATGCATGCAGATCCGAAGAATACGAACTAGCCATGAGCTCAAAACCTCTTCGAGTACTTAGATATGTGCCAATTATAAGAGAATTGCTGAAGGGTTCTTTTCCGCCTTAGTTGACCTCAGCAGTGATGTGAGGCTGGTCCAAAAGAAGACAGATATCTGGGACAGCCCGGACATGAGGACGCTCGTGGTTGACTACTATGTGATGGTCTTCGAATTTCTCTGCAACGCAATGTCATGGTTCAGTCGACCACGCCATCGATATCGGACGATCCTGGATAGGAGTTCCTATGATCACGAAGTCAGGGACTTGGTCGATCGGATGAAATCAGCGGTAGCACGGATCCGCGACGAAGCGGCACATCTCGCAGAGAAGCAGGTCTTGGGAATCAACAGCAAGCTGGGCCAAGTTCTGGATATTGTCAGCCCACAGTCAATTGACGCCTCTGGTATTGATGTCTCTGGGAAATTTCTCTATCTTCACGTTGTGGGGAGTGGGAGTCGTGGCGATAGCCGGGATGCGACGCAGGCGAAGCTCCATCACTTCGGTCAGCTTGTAGGATCATGTTCGCTGGAAACTCTGCAGGACATTGAGAAAAATTCAGGATACGGTAGGTTGGCCGATTCAGCCGCCCTGGACTGGCAATCTAATCTGTGATCTAGTTCGGCAGTCGGTGACGATAGGTGAGAAGCCGGTGAGCCCGAGAGATGTTCAGCCGATGGATGTTCAGATTGCAGAAGTCGAGACATTGAAAGATGAGTCAGACTCTGGTATATTTGTGAGAGTCATTGCGTTTTATTGTGCCTTTCTGATGATTCATTCCAGACGCGGACATTACTTGCACGCGCTACGACGTTCAGAAAGCCACGATGTCCTTCGCAGAATACACGGAGGATGGCAGAGAAGAGCTTTCCAACGCGCTCCGGGGAAACCCATCTTCTCTGCTGCCACAGGAAGTGTTGAGTGAGATCCAGAACTGGGTGCGGAGCCCCCAATCCAAGATGATCTGGATAGAGGGGGATCCTTTATCCTCTTATGGTTCCAATCTCTCCTTGGCAGCCATGCAGCTGTGCGCAATTAGCACCAGGGCACATATTCCCTGTATCTCTTTCTTCTGTAAGCCAAGGTATAATTTTGCCACGAATTTTTCGAATCAAGAAGCCTCTGTCATCGCATTGTTGTACACCATCATCGCACAACTTACGCGTCTACTTCCCGCAGACTTCCACGGTGCTCCGATACTCCTGGGGCAGTTTGAACTTCTTGACGGGGCGATAGGGACTGCCTCCACTGCATTGAACATAATCAGAGAGCTCTTGGTGCATGCGCCGCCATCAATTATCTGGGTCATTGATGGACTTCATCTGGCAGAGAACAGCAGTACCATTCACATCCTTGACGACTTTGTGGCCATACTGCGTGAGCAGGAGAGGTTCCGGCTTTCCAAGGTATGCTTTACGACTGATGGAAACAGTCATACCCTGTTGCCGGCTATTATGGTGAATGAGCGAGTAGACGCCTCCCGAATGGCTCTAGCAGGACCTAGAAGACACTTGTATGGAGGGGGGGACATCTTAGCCGAGATGAATAGTTGGTGATGTGTGTGATGGCTTGTTCCCATTTTGTATCATGAAGCAAGGAAGTATAATTGAGTAAAGATATAATCTTCTTCCTTAGAGAAAAAGTGTCATTTTTTGATAAAATAGTCGTAAATTTATTTTTTATCTTCCATTTATCGAGGTTACCCGGCACCTTTATTCTAATATTTGGTCGACTATACTATACTCTATATCACCAACCTGAACTTGCCCTAATTAAAAATGAGGTGAATGGCCTATTGAAGACTTACAAAAGTGTCCTACCAAGGATGCAAGCTACCAGGGGACAATGAGGAACCTTTCTCAAACTACTTCCTCCACATGGAGTCAAAATTTCATCACTTGTGTTCATTTAATGACTAAGGTTCAAGACTAGGTGACAAGAAGAGGCAAAGCCTGTCAAACATCACAGCCATACAGTACCTTGCATGTTGAATGCTGCATCAAGAACAAGGAAACATCCATCGAAAGCGTAACTGATAAAAGGGCCTGATTTTGATGAGCGAACTGCACAATAAAGCATACAACGAGCGCTGCTTACTGCAGAGTTTTTCGCCTACCAACGGGCTATAGCTACGCCTATACAGTATCCTTAGCATCTTGACTGGTCGAGAAGGTAGGGGCATTACCCTTCCATAGCCATCACCACCGCCGCCACCACCACCATATCTGTCTCCGCAGCCATGACCGTAACCGTCAAGTTATTCCCGCTTAACCTGGTAAAATATTAGTATCCTCTTCCTATTAAAGCTGGAAGTGACTCACTTGACCGTAGCGATCACTACCACCGCCACCACCATATCTGTCTCCGCTGCCACCACCGTAGCTGTCAAGCCATTCCCGCTTAACCTGGTAAGATGTTAGTATCCTCTCCCCATTATGAGCTGGAAGCAACCCACTTGGCCGTAGCGATCACTACCACCGCCACCACCATATCTGTCTCCACTACCACCACCGTAGCCGTCGAGCCATTCCCGCTTGCCGTTCTCCGTCGGAATAGACGCACTTGGTGCCGCCATGGCCAGCCCGATAAGAGCACCTAGCAAGATAATCGAACGCATTTTGTTCTCTTTTTAGCTGGTGGTAGTAGTATGCTTGATGATTGTTGTCGTTGTTGTTGTTGCTGTTGTTGAGATACTAGACTTGCAGCCCGAATTCCAGGTTTGGGCCTACATTATATACTGTAGTCAGGTCTCCCCATATAGACCGCTTCTATGAGGCATTTACGCCCCTCGCTACTTGGAAGGTACTTGTTGAAACGTCAGTGAACAATGCTTGTCTTCGACATGCCCATGCTTTCATTGGATTTCCTGTCATGTGTCAACGCACTGACCGTCAGACTAAAAGTCATATATTGCAACCATCAGACCAGAGGGTGGTCAGATATGTCCCGACACCATGTACATTGTGAGGCAGCGGGTGGAGGTCCATGCAATATTGAGCTCAGGAAGGAAATTGAGCTGAGGCTGGATGATCAGGGATTGCGCTAGTCAACCATCATGCAGTGTACCATATGTGACTGATTTTGGTTGCCTTTTATGCTTTTTCTGAGGTGAGATACTACAATTTTCCGTATATTGAAGAGAAATATTGAACTAACAGTGAATATAGAGTAGCCATTACCGTATTAATCTTGGCCTCATACTCTGCTGTACTGGGTCTAGCCAACCTTATTACAAATTTCTAAGACCCGCCGGTGACGGAACCAGTCGTTACAATTTCCCATATTGCTTTGTCCTGGAGTTTCTACGACCCGCCGGTGAAGGAAACAGTCGTTATAAACTCCTATATTGCTTTTTCCTGGAATGTCAAGTCCCGCCGTTGAAGGAGGCAGTTATTATAACCTCCTATATTGGTATCTCTTGGCTCCACGTACAATATGTACAGCTCAACTATCAGCATGAACAAGTGGAATGACACACTGATCAGATGCAGTAGTAAAATTTCAACTGTAATGGAGTGTAGATAATCAGAAAGGTGGCTGCAGATAGATCTCTGGAAATTGTGAAAGAGGTGATCACGCGAACTAAGGGTTGGGAGTAGAGTGCGTACGATGCGAGTATCACAGCAGCTATGATGTGCAACATGGCGCTCATGACCGCTCCATCGGCGATCTACCTTGTGATCTGCGACTGATTTGATATATGTGTCAATAATGCTTACACTTCAGAGGATAGGCAAAGATTGCCCTATGATGCCATGCAATTTCTGATGACCGAGTGAGAGCTGCTAAATACCACTCAATCCTATCATGACATAACCCCTCCCAATGATGATCTAGTGATGGGATTTATGTGACAGACAACATAAACCGAGTCTAGAAGTATTCACAGCCACTCTAGTCACTTATCTCAAGGGCAAACCAGGCCGCTCTGTTAACGATAGAAACGAAGATGAAAGATGCCGCATACAGCCCAGTTGACGACGGCAGTGACTGCCATGGGAGCAGCAGTCTCGACAAAGACGAAGCCAGACAAGTACTTCTTAGCAAGCCATTTGAGGACCATGTCATCCATTCGAGTCTACCCATGAGCCGAAAATACCTAATCTTCGGATTTGTTTGTGTCATCCTGCTCCTGTTGAATACTGTGATGCTCGTTTTCAACATCTGGACAGTCGCACCCCATTCCCGCCGAGAAGGCTTCATTGAAAAACCTAGAGACTACTGGTGTAGGTGCACCTTCGGTTTCTAATTTTCTGCGTGGATTCTGACTGATCATGTAAAGTGCCGGGTTTCGAAAGTGGAATCGTCTACGAGAACCGACAATTCTATAGCGCCCATTCCGATTATGCGGGTGTGGGACCGGAGGTAGATGCCAAATGGTACAACTTGACAAGTTAGATACCAGACGATCCCTCCATGTCCTGTCAGACCTACCAGCTAACACCCTTTGATAGGAGGTGCAATGGGCATCAGTCGCCAGCAGCTGACAGCATTGAATAATCATCCTGATCTTGCAGTACGAATCGAAAATGCTGGCCCTGAGCAAGAGTATATGGCGACCTTTGACGTTCTTCACCAATTACACTGTGTTGTGAGTACCGCGACTATGTGCAGGTTGAACGGTTCAGCTGACTGTGTTACTTCCTGTTCTCAGGATCTCCTGCGAAAAGGAATACACATGGACTACTACAAAGACAGAGATGAGCATTTCGTGAATCAAACAGAAGAGCGTATATTTTTTCACTTAGGTAAGTCTCACCGTCGAATTCTTCCCGTTTTTTTCGCGCTCCCAGATCACACAGCTAATTCCTCTCCCAGACCATTGTGTTGATATTCTTCGTCAGACCCTGATGTGCCACGATGACCTCTCCTTAGTGACATATAATTGGGTCAAAGGCCTGGACGTGCCGTACCCAAACTTCAACACATACCATACCTGCAAGAATTGGGACACGTTTCTTGCGTTGAACCAGAAGCTCGATGTTAGTGCTAGGTGGGAAGACGGTAAGGTTGTCGAAGTATACCCGATTCCCCGAAAACCAGAACATGTCGATGGGATGTGGCCACCTCCCTGAAGGCTTTCCTTGATGGAGAAGGGTCATTTTGAAATGAGGGTGGATGCCTCGCTTTTGCCTGGGCTTTGATGCTGTGCGCACGATGGACAGAAGGATTGTGTTAATCATAAGGTCTTCATGCAATTGTTCAAGCTCCTGACATCGTGCCATCGATTGGAACGTAAGAGTATATCCTTAAATCGAATGGGTTTTGTTCCGCTTCCGATTAACTGTACATGGGAAAATCACATTCATTATCCGCGGCAAGAATATTCATAGCTCCAGGTCAAGAGCAGCTGGACTACGGCAGGTAAGGCAAAGAGAGAATTCAGAAAGGGAAAATAAATTCAGTGATGAGCAGAAAATTGATTACATTGTGATCCATCTCAGTTCGGCTCGGACCCCAAGAATTGTCCCTCATTATTATAAAAATCTTTACCTCATCTAGTTACACTCTGTTGTGTGAACATAGAAAGGGAATCAAATCCCACGCCGAATACACTATACAGAAAACAACTTATTTCTAACATCAGTGCCGTTTCCTTGAGCCGAGAATTAGTCAATGCGACCGAACACCATTCATGATTACGGGGACTATATCGACAGGTCAGTATCCCACCCACTCAAATGGGTTGAGAGCAAGCCAGTTCTAGAGAATAATGGGGCAATTCGTGGACCCCATGCGTGATTGTCAAATAAATGCCTGAGACAGAAAACCACCCCTACTCCAAAGCCAAACCCGTAGCAATATCCTTCTTCAGCCCCTCAATAGCAATCCCAAGAAGCTTCCTCTCACTCTCGGATATCTCACCAAACGGCAGCGCCTTCGAAAGCCCCATCTTACCAATCTCAACCTTAACAGCAAAGTAGTCCACCCCAAGCTTAGCCGTAATCTCATCCCCATCCGGGATACCCGGAAGATAGACATAGGCCTCCTCAGTAACAGTCTCCCCAGCCATAGCTGCCAGAATGGCCTTAACAAAGCTAAATCCCGCATACGCCATGCATGTCGTAGCGCTTCCAGCGCCCTGCTTGCTTTTCACGATCTCGTCGCCACCGAATTGCACCCCTATTATTCATTCCCATGACAATCAGCATACACGCACTCTCCCACGGAAGCTGAAACGCCAGGTAGTGACATACTTTTGATAACAGCCGCCAAAGTCTCATCATCAAGATCGACCGGTGGCTGAGCCTGACTATAAAGCGGAAGTATGGTAGCTCCGCTGTGGCCACCGATGACGGGAACTTTGTAAGTCTTGGGGTCGGTGTTCGTGGCGTGCGCCGCGAAGGTAGATGCCCGCACGACGTCCAGGGTAGTCACGCCAAAGAGACGCGTAGGGTCAAACACGCCTGCTCTTTTGAGAGTCTCCGCTGCGACGGGGACGGTGGAGTTGACAGGGTTGGTGACGATGCAGCAGATTGCCTTGGGGCATGTTGCTGCGACTTCAGTGAAGATGGCGCGGATAATGTGGGCGTTTGTCTGAGTGTTTGTTAGAGAGGTTTGTTCTAGTGAGGGCATAGCATTTGGATCTTGGGTCTTTGTTGTGTGGTTGTTGTCTCACCTTGAATAGATCTATATGTGAACACCCGTCAAGAGCTGGAAATATATATAGGTAGTAGCAGTAGTAATAGGGGTTGTCACTTACCATCTCGAGTCATACCCGGCTTCCGGGCAATACCAGCAGTGACAACGATTATATCAGCTCCGGTAAGTGCTTTCTTTAGTCCATCGTCTTTTGGAAGGTAGCCGATAACCTTGGCTTTGGTGTCGATGTGCATCAAATCCGTGGCGATGCCCGGTACATGAACAATATCGTACAGAGCAATCTCATCAAAAAAATCACTCTAGGCAAGTTCAGCCAGTTTCCCCACATTGAGTTTTACTTCTATAATTCATTTATTTGGTCATACTCACTGTCTTGCATAAAAGGCTGAGGGGCGTGCCTATCTGGCCCGCGGCGCCAAGAAGTGCAATTTTCACCATGTTGGGTATTGAATAGGGATTGTATAAATATATATATCAGGCACAGCAGATAAGTTTAATTAAATCAAAGTTATGCGTTAGTGGATTAGCAATGGCGAAGGCGATATCCTGTTCTTATCTCTGGTGATGTTTTCTATGGTACGCATCCTCAACCCTGCTGCGAGCTTGGTGGGTGAACGTTCACCCGCACGGCCCAAGTATAGCCGGCAGGCCTGGCAATGTCGACACGGCATGTCTGGCTGATTGTTCTTCAATCGCAATCCCAAAAATGTAACTTCATGATTTCTCGAAATGGGTTAGAATGCGCGATAATTGAGCTGTTCTCCCGGTTCTTAGAGACTTACGTCAGACTCGTAGAAATCACAAGATCCTGGGGCCATCATAGTTCTCTAAAGCACTTCACAAAGATACTCAGTAATAGCCTTCATTTGGTACTTCGTACTTATTTTGGAGGTAATATACTCGGCATATGTTATATACGAAATCCTAATTCCATTAATCGGTACAATTGACTAACTTGATAGCTATCTATTACTAGTAGTTGGTACCCGATTATTCTGGACAGCCTAACTTCCTGACATCTACGCATATAATAATCACCTTCGCCTAATGAGAACCCTGGTGTCAGTCATCAGAAAAGCCTCTTCGGAAGCCACCGTGATGCCTCGCGCTCAAGCATTCCCTTTGCAGCCTCAGCCGCGTGCTCGGCATGCTCGGCATGCTCCCCCCACCCACTAGTTTCATTTGCATGTCCATGATCGTCTCCGTTTTGCTGCTTCCCATTCATCAAATCAACAGCCCATTGTAGGTTCGCCTGTTCAGCTAGTGTGATTGGGGTCTGCTTGTCTTTCCCTTCGGCACGTGGGTCTGCCCCTGCAGACAGCAGGATCTCAATCATTCGCTCTCTGGAAGCCTGTATAGTCTTGAACATCTCCGGCTGCTGCTCCGCCTGCAGTGCAAATGTTGTCAAAAGCATGGAAAGGGGTGTTTTTCCATAGGAGTCTTGTGCGTTTGGGTTGGAGCCATGCTCGAGCAACATCTTGGTCATGGCTTCGGGTTGCATTTTGACCACAGCAATATGCAGCGGACTTCGTCCCGCACTATCTCGGGAATTGGGGTCCGCGCCGTGCTCCAAGAGGATTTTCACTGTCTGCTCCGTATTCTTCGCTTCGGTGGCAATGTGCAGTGCAGTGTGGCCAGTATTGATGGTATAATAGGATTGCCACAGATCTCTGGTATTCTTAAGGCTTGACAATCCACGGACCGCTGAAACGGCACCAATACTTGCTTTTTTGTTGGGGTCTGCGCCATGTTCAAGAAGAACTTGCATAATGTCTTCCAAGCCGGGAATGGCCGCACACTTATGAAGGGGAGTCACTCCAGAGCTGTTTGCAACGCTCGGGTCTGCACCCTTTTCTAGCAGAGCCTTCACGGTTTCGACTGAGCGACCGTCAATGGCATAATGCAGCGGAGTGTTTTTCCCCCTGCGTGTCGCAGTACCAGGGTCTGCTCTTGCGTCGAGCAGCAAGCGGACCATTTTAGGACCATTTTCGGAGCTTTTGGAGGCTGCGAGATGCAATGCTGTTCGGCCAGGATGCGGAAGCCCGACAGTCGTGGCACCCACAAAGGCACCCTTACTCAAAAGCCAATCTACCATTTCCACAGACTCGGAGTCGGCCGCAATATGGATAGCGCTCCAGCCAGACAAATCAGGGGCCCAGACGTGTGATGGCAGAGAGGTGTAAGTGGCCCACGTTGGTGACCGCTCAGCTAACCAGGGGAGATTCAGTCGTGCTGCAACGAATAGATGGCTCGTGCTACTACTGTGTCCAGAATCTGTGAGGAGCATGTAAGCAGGGATCTCGATACTACTACTGACGGAGAGCCATTTACATTTACCTGAGGTATATCTCTTCAGGAGATCGTATGCTGGAGACCAGCTGGCTAACGCGGCTGAATCGATAGCAAAGAAGCTTTTCATGCCCTCCACATCTGTCTCCTCTTGGATTTTGCCTTTCTGCAGATGATCACCTACGAACACAACAGCATACTGCAGAAGGGGCAATCCTTCCAGGTATTTATCTCTGACTTCTTGAAGCCGAGTCTCATCGATCATTCCGCTGTTATCGACTGGAGGCTTCGGTACTTCACGTCGGTGAACTTCCTGAATCTGCAGATAGGCGATGCAAGCGGAGGCTATTCTTCGGTGTGCCTCCTCCGGAGTCAACCCGTACTTTGGATATTCCTTTCCACCTTCTACACTGAAGACACCCGACAGAAAGTCCTTGACTGACTGGTGACTCAGGTGGACGAAACCGTCGTGGACCTCTAATAAGGCACCCCACTTACTTTCGATATCTCGCCGTAGTTGATCAACGTCATCTTCTGAGCTTCTAGCTCCAGCAGATTTTCCTTTTTCCTGGAGCTGAAGCACGACGTTCAGCTCCTCCAAGGCCAAGGGCCGACCGGCTAGATAGACCCACATCAACAATGATTGTAACTTTAGTCTGCAGTCGAGCGATTGTGTCTCCAACATTGCCTTGTAAAAGGCTGCCACATCGAGTGGGATGCTATGGAGCTTGTGTTCAATCTTTCTCTCTGACCAAGTTCCATCCCAACTGCGCAGATCACCCAGAATTAGCGATAGCCACATGAACATGCCTTTGGAGTTTTTCTTTAGCAAGCTGGTGGTGAAATGCAGTATAGAATCGGAGAAGCCACGGTACTCCTGAATGCACTTGAGGGACTTGTCGGTGACTTGTTCAATATCCGGTTGGTTGTCTGTGGGCATGTCGATGATATATTCGGGATGCAATACATTGCGGACAATGCTACTTCCTCGATCAGAGATAATGAAGCGCAAACTGAACTGCTCGCCTTGCTTTACGGCTTCATCGTTGATGTTTTTAGTGAGCTCCTTGATCAAGAAAACAACATCGTTCTGGTATTGTCCACATTGATCCAAACCATCGACAATAAAGTAGACAACTTCCACTTCTGGATCTGGAATCAGTTCTTCCAGAATTTTTTGTAGAACATCCTTGGACTGGAATTCGGCCGGGTCGGATCCTGTGGCATCCAAGTCTTCGACTTTCTGGATGTGTTTCTGCAAGTGTTTCACCAAATTCCGATCCTGGTTGAACAGGCGGTACATTAACGTCCTCAAGATCCAGATAGGGGTTTGCCGATGGTCATTTCTGTCATCACAAAAGCAGGCAGCCGCCATGGTTTTTCCGGTAGGGCCCAGTGAGAGAAGCGGTTTTTTCACCGGGGAAGAACCTGGAGAACCAACACGCTTCTGCCTTGCCACTTCTTTGGCGAGGAACTTTAGCAGCACACTTTTGCCACTACCGGGGATGCCTGCAACATAGAGCGGGCCTGTTTCAGCGGGGTTCTTCTCGATCCATTGCTGAAACGGCGCACTGTCCAAGAGCCATTCGCATGTTCCGGGCTCAGCATCACGGAGGTCTTTTCTGTCTTCTGGGTCACGACCAATGAGGGCGTCAAGGAGTTTATCTTCCGCGGTTTTTCGCTCACCTAAATTTAAAGACGTATCGTTAGGCTCTCTCTGATCAAGCTCAGAAGGACGCGTTTGCTTTCCCTACCCATATACACAGATGCGCCAGCGGCAATATTGATGCCTTGAATTGCATCACTGTAGAATGAGGCCTCCATGTGTCCGTAATTCTGGCCCATCTGGAGCCCCTTGTTCTCCGAGTTGGCAAAGTCGGCCGTCGGCGCGGGCACCGGTTCCGGCTTTTATCTCGTGTCAACCTAACATGCACTGCATTTTGCAGAGTGATGGCTTTCCTTGGCTCACCTCTGTCTTTGAGCCCGGGACTCTCATTGTACCGGTGGTTGATGATACTCTCGAAGATACGTAATGTTATTTGGGGTGTATGAACTTGAGGGGGGACTGACTCTTTCAGTAGACTTCCAGGTCTGTATTTGTCTGAGCCGGTTATTATCTCCTCTCACTGCCGAGGGATCGACATGACAGAGAAGGTTCATCTCTCCGATCTCAATGTTCATACAGAGCAGGTGGGTCTCCCTGCAGCTCGGACTCCATCGTCCAGCTCAGCCCGGGACTAGCAGGAACCCTCGGATACCCGGCCGTGTCTGGTACGTAGAGTGGATCATCGCTCAATCATAGTTTGTGGGTCTGCCATGATGTAGGTAGTAGTGGCCATACTTAAGGGGTTTGGAATGCAAGACATAGGACTTTCTTGAGGCAGACATACTGATCAGCTCTAGCGGTGACTCCCAGGTCGTGTGACAAGACATTACATATCACATTGCACCTCCCCTGTTACATCGGAGATGAGCGTAACTGCTTAGACGCATCACTAGGTATCTTAGCCTTTCCTCGCAACCATTCACTGCCTTCTCCTCCCCTCCCCCTCCTTGGTCCTTGATAGGCCGCGGGAGACGAGAATATTTAAACCACCCTCTTCGTCTGCTCTCCAGAAAGAAGCGATTTGTCGCTTTTGGTCTACTAGTTACGGCGCTGATAGTGTCTCAAAGTGTCAACATAAACAAGCATCTCTTGATTGCAAACCAATTATATCTTCGAACATGTCTATCAAGACCATAAAGGACGTCTCCGAAGCTAGAGTGGAGTATGACAACCTTCCAGTCTAATCGTTAGCATACTCCAAATGTGTGACTAACCAAGATGATGCCTTCTAGCATTGTCTTTGTCCATGGTTTGGAGACAGACCGGAAATCCTGGAGGACCGAAGATGATGTCTTCTGGCCAGCAACGGTCCTTCCTAAGCTGGTTAATAACGCCCGCATCCTGGCATTCGAGTCTGACGATATAACCGTGGATACCATCTGGAACACGGAGGATTTGATGACTGACGTCTCCGATGAACTGTGTGATGAGCTTGTAGGAGTGCGCAACGGCGATGTGGTCCGTCATCCATCTTCTACACGTCAGACTCCATTTACTCCTGTGGTGCTAACTTTATTCCAGGCTAAGCGACCCATCATATTTATTGCCCACTGTCTTGGTGGCCTGATTTGCGAACATGTACGTGCGCTTCCCCGCCTCCTTCACTTCCGATATGCCCGAAGACCGCTACTAACCTTCCCATCTAGGCTCTCGTTCGAGCAGCCAACGATGATGACAAAAAGCAAGTTGCGGATTGCACCTTGGGACTCATGCTTCTCGGAACCCCATACTATTCGCCGGCGAACATTAGCGAAGCAACCAAATATTTTCGCCTGGCACAGCAGGATATTCCTAGCCCTGAGGATCTGCAGGCCATGTCGCAGTACGTTCTGGAATATGGGCAAGAATTTGACCAATTCCGACAGACCGCTCCGCTGAAATTGAAGATATTCTTCGAGGGAGCGCCTACGAAGGTCAACGGCGAAGAATTCAAGGTAGTCGAGTCGGCCGTGGTTGCGTTGCCCGATACCCAGAAGCAACTTGTTCGCATCGGGTATAGCCATCACGGCATGAGTTGCTTCAAGGATGAGAATGACAAGGAATTTAAGAAGATCTTCAATCCGCTGAAGTCCTGGTTGGGTAGTCTTCCGAGTCCGGAAGAGAAGGGCACTGTTAACAATATCTCGAATGCCTCGTTCGCGGGGTCTAACAACTCTGGCTTGCAGCTTGGGCAGAATGCGGGGGCGCTCAATGGGTTTTCCTTTGGTCGCTAGATAGGTTTTGATACGCCCTTTTACGATCAGGCAGTTATTTCAGCTACCCTTCCTGTTTGGGTAAAGATGTTCCATTTCTACCTTTTTCCCTGCATAGTATTTACTTGTGAGATACATCTGTATGATCTTGTGATTCAAGGATTTTCATTTCTCTATAAGTCGGTACATGGCACTACCGAGGGTTATATGTATAGTAATTTCATGCCTTTCAGTAGCCTCAATCTTTATACTGAAAGTAGGAAAGACAAGACCGGCAGGGCTATAATTCAGCAGATTGCCACTAACTCTTTATTATTTACAGCAGGTGGAGTAGTATAATACCACCTGGGGTTCTAGCTTTCCGTGTAAAAAACCCTTGAAATGGCTTGAGGACCATAATGCATGTAGAGGAGGACTGACCGTCCAGTAGAAAGTCCCGGAATATTTCTACGACGCCTAGTAGCACCACTCATGCATGTCCACGCTTTATTTGAAGCAAGAGCATTTGACAGGACATCTCGCCGGGTCGTGTCGAGGGGGAGCAGCGTGTAATTCAGTCAGTAGCGGTGTGCAAAGGCGAGTTATCCGACTGCATCAGGCTATCTTAGCGCGCAAGTAGGCAACCTGCATCAATACACAAGCAGGCAGGAGGCTTACGCAGGCCGTCACTCCTGCTAAGTTACTGAGTATGACACCATAGTACAGGTACATGTCAATGTCATTAAATATCACCCTTCATGACATCGGCGAATTGATCGTAAACATATCGGATATCTACTGAAGTAACACCGCTTATATCTCCTGCCTCGTCCCTACGCCTCTGCAGTGTTGACCCCCAGCCATCACAAACCTCCGCAGCACCAAACATTAGCTCTGCACTAACTATGCAGGCCTATGTTCTGAATCGGTCACACCGACCAGTGACGAAGTCTGTATCGGGGAGGGGAGACATTTCCGGGGCTGAATATCATCCTAAGTATTGTTCGTTGTGACTAGATAGGTAGGCTAAAGCTGCTTCCGCTGCTACTGCGAGGGATGAATTGGCTAGTTAGTAACACTTTCTGCCTGAGCGTATTTGCAGCCTGCAGCCATAGCTCATCTGTCACATGTAGGCCGTCGTTAGGGTCGGACGAGTCACCTTTCAGACATCATCGTACAGCTCGAAGGCAAGTAACCACTACAATCAGTAGGCTATTTCCCCCACTAAGAGCGGGGTAGGGTATCAATCATTCTCCGCCGGGAAATAAAAAAAGAAAATCATGACGTGTCGTTTTGGGCTGTGAACTGGCATGTCAGACGAAGCCCCCAAAACGGTAAATGCCGCCATCAGACAAGGACTGGAATGTTGCTCGATCTCTACAATGATCAACGGTCTCTTTCGGGTGACCACTTTGTTGAGGAGCTGAAAAAGGTTCGGCAAAGCCGGCGCGTCGCAAGACGCTTCAGCTTCTTAAATGATTAGCGTTTGGTTTGTGCAGTCTTCCGGTCGCACCTTTAGCTGGAGGGTCGGTGGGAAGAAGAAACATTGGGTTCAACTCCAGGGCTGTCTGCTGGCTGACTGGCTGAGTCTGCGAAGTCCAATAGGGCCGGTGAGGAGAGAGGAGGGGGAACGTAGGAGCACGACGGACCAGGGGGTGGATTATTAGTAGGGTTTCCATGCATGAGATTGCGAGACCTGAGCATGGGCTTCTGTTCCTTATCTAATGCTGTCTTGAAGACGTACGACTAGCTCCGGGCCTTTTCATCGTTTAATTTCGCATCTGTTCAATTAATTACTGGCACACCAACATGGCCTCAAACGGCGGGTCGTCCGTCGCTCAGCTCTGGCAAGATGCGATCGCGGAATACGAAAATGCGACCGGCAAAAACCTTCGCCTGGGCCAATTCAAGAGCATGGACGAGGTGATGGCAGGAACAGAGGGCTTATCGAACAACTTTAGCAATTTCCGTTCCGACAAGTCCAAAGTAAGCAAGATGAGGACGGCGTTCAAAAACAACATGTGGTTGATTCAGGATATTGTCAACACCATACAATCTGTTGGCAATGCTGCATCGGTATGATATATTCCCACATCCAACAAGAAGTAAATCATCTCAGTCCTTACTCTCTTTAGATATTTCCCCCTGCAATGCCAGCTACTTTGATCTTCTCAGCGTTCGGGCAGGTCATGCAGTCGTTTTCCACGGTCTCTGCCGACTATGACACTGTTATGGGGTTCTTTGAATTCACCCATCGGTTCTTCGACCGACTTTCGATTATCGACCAGAAGATGCCGGAATTACCTCCGTTTCAAAGATGCATCAGCCGCGTCTTCTCTAGCATACTCAGGATTTGCGCCATCGCGCAAAAGTATACCAAAGAGAAGCGGTTCAGTATGTTTTGTTGGAACGTAATCTCAGTAGATTACTAGTAGTCGAGGTCACGTGACCCGAACTCCGTAACTTCAACTGCTCCTCCGAGCGCGCCTAGATAGCGAAGAATCAAGCGTTTTCAACGACTTCAGTATTGACCTAAAACGTCGTTTCAACAGGTTATGAGCCCGGCTCTTCGCTCGTGAGGCTAACCAGCAAAGATCTGAGCCACCATACACACGAAGCAAGCCGCAATTGCAACGGGGACACGCACCGCGATACCCCTATCTCAAAACACCAAAACACCGCGAATATCAAAATATTCAACCGCCGGAAGCAGACCCCAGAATGTCGCAACCAGGCAGATACCACTCTTTACAACATGTCTCGAATACAGAGGCAGTAGCCATACAACCAAAGACACAAGCAGATAGGCTTCCAGTAAAGCTACCAGAAGGCGTTCAACCCGTATCTGAAAGGTTGAAAGGGCGAGAAGACTACTCAACGTGGCGCTTTGAAATATGTCAAATCCTGAAGAACGTCGGTCTACAAGACATGATCGACAAGGGTCTATCCCATCCTAGTACAAACCACACGAATTACTGGCTATGGCACCACCTGTCAATCAACATCCAGTCCTGGCTAGCTAGCCAGCTGTCAGACCCCCTAAAGAGGGCACTGATGACGTCCCCTGACGCGCACGACTACGCGGACGATGCCTACGAAGTCATCAAATCACTCGTCCTAGGCCACGGCCACACGCTTTGCCAAACAACGTACTTCGACCTCATCCACAAACGCCGATCCGACTACTCTACCGTTGAACAATACGTGGAGGCGTTCAAACACGCATACAACTTCGCTAAAGAGTTGAAAGTCGGGATATCACCATACTGCGGGTTGCTACACCTGCTCAAAGAGCTGGAATCCGACCTTCCAACGTGGGTGTCAACAGTGGAGTGCAATTTGCCTGATAATGCTGCGGACACCCTCCAGGAGAAAGAGTTTCTAGTTTACTGCAGGACCGCAATCGAACAAGGTAATAAACAAATGCAAAGATATTCTTTCGCTGCGCCAGCGAAGAACACTGGAAGCACCACCAAGTCGGGAAGCACTGCAACGACCTCAGAGTGGAAGAAATCAACATTCCCACCGAAAGGAACGACCCCTGAGGAACACGCTAGAAAGATGCGAAACTTGAAGCCAGAGATGACTAAGGGACGCTGCGCTTTCTGTAAGACACTAGGCCATGGAGCAACCACCTGCTGGCGCTTGAATCCTGACCTCCGGCCAGAGGATTATAGGCCTCGTATAGAAGGCATCTGGTGGTTCAAAGGATCGAAGCCTAGCGAAGCATCAAATGCAGCGGTAGGCGAAATAGGATCCGATGACGAAAACCCGTATATTTTGAATTTTTCTGGCCTAGCCGTTGCAAACGCCACGAACACCTCGCTACGCTGGATATATGATACAGGCAGCTCACAGCATCTAACACCTGACTGCGCTTCCCTAAGCGGTCTCCACCAATTGAAACCCCACGAATACTACCAATATGGCACCTCGAACGGGGGAATCGGTGTTGCAAAATCGGCAGGGTATCTGACCCTGACCCTAGCTGCAAACGGCCAAAATACGGTGTTGAAGATCAAGGCCTACCACCAACCGGACCTACCCTACGGGCTCCTTTCTTCCAACCGCCTACGTACAGACCTTGGCATCTACGCTACCACTAAGGACCTGACCCTACGCAGGGACCGGGATGACAAGATCGTCGGCCACCTGCAGGCATCGAAAAACGTGCTTTTCGTCAGGACAAAAGACCCTGACCTAGCGCTAGCGGCAGTGGACCCCCTACTCTTGCACCGGCGATACGGGCACGCAGGATTCCGCCGAATCGCTACCACTGCAAAGGATCATCAAATTGAACTCGAACACAGGGACACCCTAGAGTGCGAAGCATGCTCGCTAGGCAAGGCCACACGCCTCGTTTCAAGGGACCCAATCCCAAAGACTAATGATCCAACACAGCTCTGGCATGCAGACATCCAAAAGGTGACCCCGATTGGTCATGGCGGATTCAACTACTTTCTACTCATGGTCAACAACGCTACTCGCTTAGTGAGGACGGCCATGCTTAAACACAAAGATGACGCCTCCGACGAGCTGATCAGGATGAATATGGAACACAAGAATATGGTCGGCCGATACGTGGCCACCTGGCACCTAGATGGTGGCCGCGAGTTCAACCGCTTTAGGAAATGGGCGAATCATGCAGAGCGAGGCATTCAAATCAAAATATCACCTCCTCGAACACCCGAAGCCAACGGCCTAGCTGAACGATACGGCGGCTTGCTCAACCGAATGAGCAGGGTCATGATACTAGATGCTGGCCTCCCTGCTCACCTCTGGCCGTACGCTGTACGCCTCTCAGCGCAGATCCTGAATCGCCTCGTCCCCTACCACAGCGCTGTCAGGAAGACCCCCGTGTTCCTATACAGATCCCACTACAACCTCCCGAATCCTAACGCGTCACTAGACTTCCTACGCGTATTCGGATGTCGTGCCTACCAACACATCCCGCAGGAAGATCGAGTCGCATCCCAGAAAATGGGACCTCGTGCAAAAGTCGGATACTTCGTCGGTTTCGATGGGGACAACGGACACGTTTACTACGTGTGGGATCCTATATCTGATAAAATTAAACGATCACGAGACGTTAAATTCAACGAAGATCGAACCTACAAGGATGACAAGGAGGATCCCGGTGGAGTTCCTACACGCGAACCTGACCCTAAAGGACCAACACCAGCTGGCCCAGGTGCCGCGCTCAAGTTAGACAACGCGTTCCTGCACCAAACAACCAATATATCAGATAACACGAGGGCCCTGATTGAGCAACCGGACCCTGAAGAAGACGTCATCCGAGGCAGAATCCACACCATATCTGCCTCCGCAGAGCCTCCACCTACACGCTCGATCGAGAATGCCACAGAATACGAGGCATCCTCAACGAAATACGCCGCGCAGGACTACCGCCTGCCGGACCCTACTGAGCCAGAAGAACAACCCATACTGAGGCGCTCCGCAAGGACCACTAAAGGCAAATCATCAACATGGCCAGATTACCAACAACTGGCCACGGTTGACCGGGTGACCCTACCCCACCTCAAACAACACGAAGTGGTCGTTCCGAACACCTACAGCGAAGCGATGAAGTCCCCGCTGGCACCATACTGGAAAGATGCTATGGATACACAGATCGATAAGATACAGAATATGGGCACCTACGAGATCGTGAACCGACCTCCAACCGCTCGCGCAATCCCAGGCAAGTGGGTGTACGACCTCAAGGTCAACACTGACGGATTCGTCACCCAATTCCGTGCTAGATGGGTAGTCTGCGGCAACCGCCAGATACCAGGCATCGATTACGACGAATCGTTCGCTCCTGTCGCCAGCGAAGCGGCCCTGAAGCTATTCATGACGAACGTCGCTATAAAAGATCTTGAATGGGAACAATGTGATATAGTATCTGCTTATCTACACGCGCAGATACAGGGCAAACGCGTGTTCATGAAACAACCTACCGGATACCATGAAGGACCACCGGATCAGGTGTGCCTATTAAAGATGGCCCTCTACGGCCTCCGCCAGGCGGCCCACCTCTGGCACCAAACGTTTGACGAAACACTTAAAAGAATCGGTTTCGAACCACTGAGGGAGGATCCCTGCGTATACAAAAAGGGTGATATCTGGTTGATTATTTATGTTGACGACTCCGCTATCGCTGGCCCCAGGAAGGAAGACCTAGCCGAGGTCAAACAACACCTAAACAAGGCATTTGGCCTGAAGGAAATGGGGGAACCAAAGGTTCTACTAGGATGCAACGTTCAACGTGACTACCAAGCAGGCACGATATCACTATCCCAACCAACGTACGTGGAGGAGTGCCTCAATGCAGCGAACCTAGGATCCTGCACCCCCTCCGCCATTCCGATGACCGTTGCCTACAAAAAGTCAGATCGCTCGAATATGACTACCGAAAACGTCAACCTAGCCGAATATCAAAGCCTTGTAGGGCGTTTGAACTGGCTAACCACAAAGACCCGCCCCGATATACGTCATGCAACGTTTAGACTTCAAAGGCGCATGAACACTCCCACTACGGCCGACGCTAAAGCATTGAAAATTGTATACAGATATCTGAAAAGGTCCATCCCGTACGGGATCACCCTCGCCACTGACCATACCAAAGGCATCGAAGTCTTCGTAGATGCCGCCCACGCTGACCACGAAGACGGCAAATCAACGGAGGGATACGTCATCTTCTACGCTGGCGGCCCAATCAGCTGGTCATCCAGGAAGCAATCGCTAGTTGCACCGTCATCTACGGTAGCAGAATACTGCGCGTTTGACTCCGCCGCCAAAGAAGCCTTGTATATAAAGAAATTGGTTGAAGCGTTTGACCTCAAGGCCTCCGTTGACGGCAGGATACCCTTGTACACCGACGCCGCCAACTCCCTACGGATCCTGAACCACGGAGGCTACACCAGGTCCACTAGATGGCTCGATAATCGTTACCTATTCGTAGCCGATCTGATCACGAAGAACGCTATCACCATTCAACACATCCCAGGGACCACCAACCCGGCGGACGGCCTCACCAAGCCGCTTGATAACGAATCGTTCAAAGCGTTCAGGCACCTCCTCGGAATGACCCCCATCTCCTCCCCGAACCTGCATCCAGGGAACACCGGTTGAGATAGCCGTTCCTTCCTATCTAGGCAATGCCTAGAGCCTCGTTACGAACGCTCCCTCGCCTAGGGGGCCGTGTTGGAACGTAATCTCAGTAGATTACTAGTAGTCGAGGTCACGTGACCCGAACTCCGTAACTTCAACTGCTCCTCCGAGCGCGCCTAGATAGCGAAGAATCAAGCGTTTTCAACGACTTCAGTATTGACCTAAAACGTCGTTTCAACATGTTTCAACTGTCTATGCTATCTCTTACACAAGCTTATGCAAGAAACAGAGAAATGGTTCGATAGTCTCCTCAAGGGAAACGATGGCGAACTTGCCGCCGCCAGCGAGGAGTTAGAAACGGCCATCAACGAGATGAGCCAAGCCGTGGGGCTATCAACTTTGAAGACGGTCGATGTCATGAACAGAGTCGTCGACAGCATGAACGGGAACGTCGAGTTCCTAGTCTCCAATTCCAACCTCATCGACGAAAGAACGGCAGCGATCCAATCAAACACGGATGCCATTCGCGAGCAGAACCGAGATATCGCATCAAAGCAGGACGATATGACAGACATGCAGCGTGAGATGATGAGGCAGTTATCCGAGCAGTCCAAGTTACTCAACCAAGCGGTAGGATTCTTCGATTCGCTTCAGATTGGCGAAAGCTTTGGCAAGGAATTCGAGACAAGCCTGCTGAAAGTCGATGTGATCAAGCTGCGTCTCACTCGGTGGGGTAAATCCGTCGGATTAGCCAACTTGGACGACCTGGGATCTGCTCGCGAGATCAAGCTCGCTCCTGAGGACATTCCGAAGGTGCAAGATCTCCTCAATGAGATCCTGGAGCTAATTGCGGACGCGGATAAGCTTTCGGGCCGCTTCAAGAAGAAGAATCCCGCGGCTCTGACCATGGATCCTTTTGTGGAACTGGACAATACAGCTGCCTCACTTCATCAGCAGATGGATTTGCTCGCCAAGGGACGACAGGGTAACTCGGCGGTCAACCCTGATGATGCTTTGATTATTTATCAGATGAAGGATTTCTCACGATTGATCGAAGACACCAATGGTCTGGTTGACGACTTAATCGAATTGTTCCCGGCTGTGCAGGATGAGCAGCGCAAGATTTGTGAGGATGAGGTCTCGCGGTTGAAGAAGGTCCAGAATGGCCTGCCGCTGCTGAAAAATGTTGCTGCTGGTCAGGATGATCTTTTGCGTGATACTGTTGTGAAGGCTATCCAGTCTACAACCACCTACAACAATAGTGTTGTGTTCACGGGGGAGAACTACGGATTCCAGGTTGGGAATAACGTTGGCAGGATTGGCAATGTGCGATTCGGTCAGTACCAGTAGAACGTGCTGTGATGCAATGATTGAATGAATTATCTGTATTAGAATTTGAAGTGAATGCAGAATGGAAGCACTTTCAGAAGAATTCCTCTGTGTATTCAGGACGTCTTCACGACCTACCACAACCAATAAAGCAAACTACGCAATCCACAATTGTACTCTAAATAATGCAAACACAACGACAAAGTATCATTTGGCAAACAAAACAAAGTATCCACGGGTTCAAGCATTCCCATTCACCAACTCCGAATGCTCCGGAACTGGCGACAACAACACCTCACCCATAATCGCCCGTCTCGCATTCTCCATCGCCCACTCCTCCATCTTCGCCAGCGTCTCATACGTATGCGTCCCAATATGCGGCACCAAAAGCGCACGTTCATTCTTCGCAAGCTTCTCGTTAATCTCCGGCTCCCGTTCATACACATCCAACCCAACAGCGCCGATTTGCCCAGTCTCCAGGGCATCGGCCATAGCAGCCTCATCAATAATAGCACCACGAGCAGTATTGATAATAACAATACCGGGCTTCATTTTCGCGATCTCGGCTGCGCCAATCAAGTGCTTTGTATTCGCATTCAGGGGCACGTTAATACTAATAATATCGCTCTCAGTGAGCAGCTTCTCAAACGAGACATACTCGGCCCCCGCGGATAAATCAGCAGATAAAGGACGTCGATTATTATAGACGGTCTTGATGCCAAAAGGCTCGCAGCGCTGTTTGACAGCGCGACCGATTCGGCCCATACCGAGGATACCTAGCGTCTTGCCTTGGGGGTCGTGGCCAAAACCTACGCCTTGTTTGAAGGTTCCTGCGTAGAGGGAGCGAATCGCAGGGTTGAGGTTTCGGAGAGCACCCAGGAGGAGGAGGACTGCTAGGTCAGCGGTTGCATCTGTGACTGGGTCTGGGGCGTTGGTGACGATGATGCCTCGCTTGGCGCAGGCTTCCGTGTCGATTGGGTCATAGCCTTGCGATTGGTTTTAGTGAGGCTGTTTTGGGTACTAGGTAGGAACCTTACCTGCTCCATTGTGAAAAATGTATTTGCAACTTTCGGGAAGATGGTTGATTAGTTCTGCGTCGAACTTGCCGGCTACCTTCACAGAGTTTCTTATTAGATTACTGATGCGGATGGACGTCCGATCTCATCACGGATAGGCAAGGGTAATACTCACTGCACCGCTAGCGGATGTCCGATAGATGGCAAAAATATCTTTATATTTGCCTGTGACATCTTTGAAGAACTCCTCCCTGCCTTTACTTGTCACAACCTCTGTTTGGGCATGTTCTTGGAGCTTCTCATAGAACGGCACTGCGTGCCTCACGGGGTTGAAGAAGAGAATGCGGGGCTTAGCCGACGACATGGTTCTGATACTGTTGTGAGGGAATATAGTCCACGCTGCTTTCTGTCCAAGCCTCATCGTTTAGGGTCCTGTTGACAATGAACTTATTACATTTATTTATTGTATTTGGGTCTTTGAGGAAAAGATTAACCATGACGGTTGTCTGTTCCGAGCAGGGTATTTGCAGGCGGAGTAGGTTACGGCTAAACCTCCTCCACCCACGGTTCAGATTTTGTGCCCTGGCAAAACAATTAGGCTCATCCTCACAACATCCGATACTTGTTGTATGTGCTATGTATCACTATCCACGTTCTAAGTCCACGTTCATGGTGCAATCTGGGGTAATATCGCGGGGTGTAGCCAAGTATCTTAGCTCTGTAACGTCTGACTCCACATAATGCTCGACAGTACGTGTTTCTGTTGACTGTCATGTTGCGTTTGCCACCATTAGGTGGAGATATTATATTGTCTATGCGGTGATTGGGTTTGGCGTTGCTTTTATGGTTTATTTCTTGTTTCCCGAGACCAAGGGTCGCTCGTTGGAGGAGATGGATCGGCTGTTTGAGGATCCGGGCGGCGTTGGTGGGAGGTTACTGCATATGTGAGAGGGATGGAAGGAATGGATATTGTGCAGGTGGATAGAGAGGATGTAAAGATGAGCACGAGCCATATCGAGAAGGCTTAATTGATAGACTCAGTAGCCCAGGCAGGGGTAGTAGGTCAGAAGCGAGATGGCAATTAGTCAGGATACCTCTGTTAACTTGAGGTTGGTTCTTTCTTTACTGGTCGGCCACCTGACGCTCTGCTAGCCGTGAGAGCTCTGAGATAGGGGCACAGTTGAGAGTAGAAGGCAGTATGTTGATTGTTAACCAAGTCCTGTCTCCAAAGACACATAAATACAATTTTGAGGCCTGAAGGAAGCAAGATAAATACGACAATGAGAAATAGGCAGTCTCCGTTTAGCACTCATTCTGACAATCCTAAATGTTTTCAAGGTTTCGCAAAAAGCCCACCTCCAATGACTTTTACAGAAGCCATCGAGTATCATATGCCATCATCTATGCTCATCCTATCACGGCTATGTTTCAACTGCGCGTTTTTGGTGTAATCTGGGGTAATAGTATAGGATGTAGCTACGTCTCTTAGCTTCATAGCTTCTGACTCAACAAGATGCTCGACAATGAGTGCTCCTAAATGGCTTTCTCTAGATTTAGCGCTGAGTCCTCAGCACGGATGGATGCTTTCCGTCAAAGCAGGCAATCAGATAGCTGGGTGCCTATGTTGTACGCACGAACGTGACAAAGGAGAGTTAAGATTGTTCTACATCTTTGGTACTATGGTTCTTTTTCATACGAAAGCTTGGATACTCTAAGTACAAATCATGACCATCCTGTTACAGGATACAGCGTCTGCGAGAAATAAGCTGCATGTCTTTTTTCAACTGATCTGTTCGTGCGCTCAGGAAGTTGCTTGGATCTCCTGGAGAGTGTAAGAATTGAATAACTTCATTGCCACACCTGCTCCATGATCTAGATGTCTCAAGTGCTGCCATATATAGGGCAAGCCCTCAAGTTGGCCTTTATAACAATATCGTATAGCGTCACTACCTGGGCTGTAGGAAGACTTTCTCCTGCTTTACGCGCTGCAATAGCACGGTTAACAACGTCCGGACAACCCTGTTGTTGTATAGCCCATTTGGCCCCATCTAGTTTCGAAGAAAATTCTCCTGTAATGATGTATCGCCAGCCTCGGCAAGCGTTTAAAACACTGTTGGCTGAGTTTAATTCATTTGCTTGGTGCCAGTAGAGCGAATTCGTGATTGCTTCTAAGATCCAGCGTCGGGGCAAGGCGCTGAAAGCGTCGGTTTTATCTAGGCCGTACAAGTTACGGCCAAGTTCACGTCCCATAGCAATATCAAGTAAGAACCAACGGCTTGCCTCGCTAGCGGGGTCAAGACAAATATAATCAGATTGATGAGGTCCTGTGTTCAAATTGAGTTCGAAACAAGGATGACGACTGGCCGGATTCACAGCATCTTGAGCATAGACCACGAATTCAAGTTTGGTAGCCGGGCAAGGTAATGCATCCTGGTTGATGCAGCTTATAACTGCCTGCTTATCAACGGTATCAAGCGAATTCTTTACTATAGCCTGCACGTCAAGGTCGCTGAGGCCAGACTCATAAGCACCATAACTTGCTGAACCGAATAAGTACACGCCGACGAGCTGGTCTTTGAGGTACTCAGTAAGACGCTTGACTAGTTCTTTAAGATAGGATTCCACGTCTTCTGGTAGGTTATTGCCCATTATTGTTGTCTCTATTCCGGTTAATTATTGCCAGGTCTGTAGGTAATTGCACAGACAACACTTGGTAGTTGCCAGGCCTTTTTCACTTACCTTCTTTTTATGTCGTAGGGTGAGAAAATCTGGAGTCGTCGGTAATATGACTTGGTTGGCAGGGATGGAAAAGTGAACTGAGTTGCATTTGATAAACGCTCGTAAAGGAATGTAAGACGAAGATAACATGCGCGGGGTTTCAAGGCTTGCTGCCTCAGGCATTAACTTTGAGCGGCATGTATGCCATAAGGAGATGCTAGTCGTTAGTGACTTGATTTAGTGCAGATGAACAGAAGAATTTACTGTTGCACCAACACGTGCTGGTCACTAGCCCGAATGGGGCAAAGCCTATGCTTGTGGCCGCTAACAGTAATTTGCTGCCTGAGGAATATGGCTACTCGGGTTTTAAGCCGTCTTAAAAGCCGACACGAATTAGTTATAAAAGACTCTGTACTTGAGCAGGATATTCCTTCATTCTTTTCATTTAGATTGATATCGAATTCATTCTACAAGGATCGGATACTCTTCCATCCTTTATTTTGTCTCTGTGAATCAAACGCTGCAAGATGGCAGCCAAAGAAGGAGGTATGTCCCCCATCCGTGATGCGGACCCATCCATCTCCACGCCAGCCCTATGGAACATCAACACCAGCCAAGACCTTCTACTAACCATTTCCTCCATCGTCCACAGAATCAGTCCCATCGGAGGCCGCTCCATCCCAAGTCTCCCTCAACGACACAAGAAATCTCGTCCAAGATGCCCACCTAGTCAGTCGCCTTCCCAATACCTCTATCACAAACTCCCTAACAATAATATACTGCTATAGGTAACATGGGCCATGGACGACCGCGAAAACCCCAAAAACTGGAGCATCAGCAAGAAATGGGCTGTGACCATCACCGTGTCGCTCTTCACATTCATTTCCCCCGTCTCATCCTCCATGATCTCACCCGCCTTGACCAAGATCGCCAAAGAACTCAACATCACATCGCAAGTCGAATCCGAACTAAGTCTCTCTGTCTTCGTGCTCGCCTACGCCGTCGGCCCACTCTGCTTCGGCCCGCTATCCGAACTCTTTGGTCGTGCCTACGTCCTGCAATGCAGTAATCTATGCTACGTGGCGTGGAACCTTGGATGCGGCTTCGCGCAGACATCGGGGCAGTTGATCGCGTTTCGTTTCATGAGTGGGATAGCAGGTAGTGCGCCGTTAGCTATTGGAGGTGGTGTTCTCAGGTACGCCTTCCCCTTTCTTCTCTTCCCAATCACCTCCCCGAACAGCATAACTAATATTGTGAAAGTGACTGCTGGAACGCCGATCAACGCGGCAAAGCCGTCGGCATCTACAGCCTGGCCCCCCTTCTCGGTCCCGTCGTGGGCCCCATCGCGGGTGGCTTCATCGCCGAAACGACGACCTGGCGGTGGGTCTTCTGGGCGACAAGCATCGCCGGCGCCGTGATCCAACTAATCGGGCTGGCCTTCCTGCCCGAGACATATGCACCGACATTGCTCAAACGACGCGCGCGGACCCTGCGCCAGAAGACTGGCGACGAGGGATACCACACGGAAGCAGACACGCAGAACGCAAGCCTGATGTCCACATTGCAGCGCGCTCTCGTCCGCCCATTCATCCTCCTCACCACGCAGCCCATTGTGCAAGTCATCGCGCTGTACATGGCGTATCTCTTCGGATTGTTTTACCTGTTGCTCTCGACCTTCCCTCAAGTCTGGGAGGAGGTCTACGGCGAGAGCGTCGGCATTGGCGGGCTGAACTACATTTCCCTAGGCATTGGATTTGTGTTGGGAGCGCAGGTGAACGCGCGCGCCAGCGACCGCATCTACAAACAGCTCAAGGCCAAGCGGAATAACACCGGACTACCCGAGTTCCGTATCCCGGCTATGTTTGTCGGCTCATTGTTTATCCCGGTCGGGTTGTTCTGGTATGGATGGAGTGTGCAGGCACATATCCACTGGATTATGCCCAATATCGGTATTGTGTTGTTTAGTATTGGGAGCATTATTTGTCTGCAGTGTATGCAGACGTACGTGATCGATAGTTATACGCGGTTTGCGGCGAGTGGGTTGGCTGCTGCGGTCGTGTTGAGGAGTCTGGCGGGCTTTAGTTTCCCGTTGTTTGCGCCGTATATGTATGATAAGCTGCACTATGGCTGGGGGAATAGTTTGCTTGGATTTTTGAGTATCGGGATTGGAGTGCCGGCGCCTTGGGTGTTTTGGTTCTGGGGGGCGAAGTTGAGGGGGATGTCGAG